TCTTGCCTCATTTTTTTTTCTCTTGCTGGGCATTTAGTAGGCTTCATTTTGGTGGGAAGAATTTTTAGGAAAGCTTTTAGGATCTTAGGATAAGGTGAAAGGAAAGGTAGGTGGGTAATGGAACAAGATTTTCATGGAGATTTTCAGGTCCTTGTCACGTGGTTTTTTGCTTCTTTCTCCGGTGTCCTTCACACATGTCCAATACTCTCGACCAGATTCCAGTGGACAAAACCTGGAGTCCGACGGAGTCTAGTCGAAAAATGAAACCGGAAGTTCAGTAGAGTCCACTTGAGTTACCGGAAGTTTAGTCATCACATGAAACCGGAAGTGTAAACAATACTTAAAGGAGGGTTGGAAAGTCGTCCGATGGAGTCCATCGGATCCATTGGAAACACATCGATTCCGATGGAATCACAGGAAGTCTAGTCGTGCCATGAGTCAAAACAAGCACACTGAACGTGTAACATAACTCGTTCTTTAAGCCCTAAGTCGAGAATGGCAAGCCTAACAGGCAACAGAACTCGTTCTTAAAGCCATGAGTCGAAACAAGCACGGACGTCGGTACACATAAGTCGTTCTTAAAGCGATGAGTCAAAACAAGCACGCTACACAAAAATAATAACTCGTTCTTAAAGCAATGAGCCGAAACGAGCACGCTACGCGAATGGCATAACGCGTTCTTAAACCCACGTGTCGAAACAAGCACGGTACCCACCTAACATAACTCGTTCTTTAAACCCTAAGTCCCCCAGGCCCTTTATTCGAGACGGACTGGCACGCTTAAAGCCACGAGTCAAAACAAGCACGGTAAAGCTCTGAAACGGGGCAAAAGCCCTGCGAAACGAGGACAGTACACAAGTATATGCTTCGTTCTTTAATGGTAACTATAATATGAGCTACACTTGAGTAGAATTATGAAAAGAAACATACTGGTAGGCGGTAGGCATAACATTGAAACTGACATTACATGGATACAAAATGTATGAAGTTATTGAACAGCTGAAGTGGGCGTGAAAATTACCCCACGCGCGTCTTTTCTCGCGTGGGGTGATTTTTACGCGCGCTCGCGTTTCGGTCGCTCTACTATCCCTGAGGAAAAATGGGGGACTACACGTAGTCTACTTTGCATGTGAAAAGATCACCACTGCTATGGTACAATATAACAACTCACACCTTTTACAGAAAAAAATTATTCATTTAATAAGTGAAATGGTTAAGTATTTCAGTGGTATAAAATAAATGGAACATATTGCATGGCCGCTCGGAAATATGAAATTTCTCTTCTCATGTTGAAACAATATTTCACTGCTTCCAGCAAGGCTTACCCTTCCTTCTCTGTTGGATTGCTATTAATCATACCTTTGTTGAGAAAAGCATGGACAAATTTCTTATAACAAGTTAGAGTTAATTTGTGTTGTATGCTGTGATTTAATATCGAAAGATTCCACATTTTCAAGGAACAGTGGAATTTAAGATAATTCCATATGCCTTTTCCTAGCCGTTCGAATTCTTTACTCGTAAATTCTTTTAGAAAGTCAACGATCGAAAGATGCGCCATCTTGGCCATTTTGTCGATCAGGCAACTCTTGTTTCTAGTCCCCCTCGCATCCTTCGCGTTCCCAACAGTTCGCGTTACCTGATCCTGTAGCACGCTCACTTTGTCAAATCTAATTGACTTGTTTCACTTCTCCTGGAGTATAACAACGAACTAACAAATCGAAATTCGGGAGCTGGACGAATAGAGAACGCATATCGCTACCGCCATTCGCTACACAGATATTGTTATACTGAATTATCTCAAATACGAGTTCGCTTTTAACAACAAATTACCTCATGATGCGATGCAGTTTTTGATGGATGATCGGACTTCACTAGCCTTTTCTCGCGAACCAAACAATTAAGATTACATACCACATTTTCCCGACCTCTTATACACCTCTCCACTGCAAAAGACTGATGCAGTAGACTCCGTTTCACACTTTTCCACCTCGTTCAACATGATGACAATTTTTGACCTGGCGTTACAAATAGAAAATGTTCTTCTCCAGGCATTCGAATCTATTCGAATCTAATAGATACAATGGCTTCCATTAGAACGCCTTTTCACCCCCTTATACAACAGGAGTGGAATTTTCTAAGACTCTCACGAATAGAAAAATGTACTTTTCCATCGGAATCTATTCGTTTCCAATGGATCCGATGGACTCCATCGGAACGACTTTCCACCCCCTCATGGCATGAGTGGAATCCATCTAACATGAGTGAAATCATTCTAAGTCTCTAACGAATAGAAAAATGAACTTTTCCATCGGAATCTATTCGTTTCCAATGGATCCGATGGACTCCATCGGAACGACTTTCCACCCCCTCATCCAACATGAGTGGAATCTTATTAAGTCTCTAACGAATGGAAAATGAAATTTTCCATCGGAATCTATTCGTGTCCAATGGATCCGATGGACTCCATCGGAACGACTTTCTACCCCCTCATCCAACATGAGCGGAATTTTTCTAAGTCTAAGGCGTTCTAATGGAAGCCATTGTATCTATTAGATTCGAATAGATTCGAATGCCTGGAGAAGAACATTTTCTATTTGTAACGCCAGGTCAAAAATTGTCATCATGTTGAACGAGGTGGAAAAGTGTGAAACGGAGTCTACTGCATCAGTCTTTTGCAGTGGAGAGGTGTATAAGAGGTCGGGAAAATGTGGTATGTAATCTTAATTGTTTGGTTCGCGAGAAAAGGCTAGTGAAGTCCGATCATCCATCAAAAACTGCATCGCATCATGAGGTAATTTGTTGTTAAAAGCGAACTCGTATTTGAGATAATTCAGTATAACAATATCTGTGTAGCGAATGGCGGTAGCGATATGCGTTCTTTATTCGTCCAGCTCCCGAATTTCGATTTGTTAGTTCGTTGTTATACTCCAGGAGAAGTGAAACAAGTCAATTAGATTTGACAAAGTGAGCGTGCTACAGGATCAGGTAACGCGAACTGTTGGGAACGCGAAGGATGCGATCGAGGGGGACTAGAAACAAGAGTTGCCTGATCGACAAAATGGCCAAGATGGCGCATCTTTCGATCGTTGACTTTCTAAAAGAATTTACGAGTAAAGAATTCGAACGGCTAGGAAAAGGCATATGGAATTATCTTAAATTCCACTGTTCCTTGAAAATGTGGAATCTTTCGATATTAAATCACAGCATACAACACAAATTAACTCTAACTTGTTATAAGAAATTTGTCCATGCTTTTCTCAACAAAGGTATGATTAATAGCAATCCAACAGAGAAGGAAGGGTAAGCCTTGCTGGAAGCAGTGAAATATTGTTTCAACATGAGAAGAGAAATGTCATATTTCCAAGCGGCCATGCAATATGTTCCATTTATTTTATACCACTGAAATACTTAACCATTTCACTTATTAAATGAATAATTTTTTTCTGTAAAAGGTGTGAGTTGTTATATTGTACCATAGCAGTGGTGATCTTTTCACATGCAAAGTAGACTACGTGTAGTCCCCCATTTTTCCTCAGGGATAGTAGAGCGACCGAAACGCGAGCGCGCGTAAAAATCACCCCACGCGAGAAAAGACGCGCGTGGGGTAATTTTCACGCCCACTTCAGCTGTTCAATAACTTCATACATTTTGTATCCATGTAATGTCAGTTTCAATGTTATGCCTACCGCCTACCAGTATGTTTCTTTTCATAATTCTACTCAAGTGTAGCTCATATTATAGTTACCATTAAAGAACGAAGCATATACTTGTGTACTGTCCTCGTTTCGCAGGGCTTTTGCCCCGTTTCAGAGCTTTACCGTGCTTGTTTTGACTCGTGGCTTTAAGCGTGCCAGTCCGTCTCGAATAAAGGGCCTGGGGGACTTAGGGTTTAAAGAACGAGTTATGTTAGGTGGGTACCGTGCTTGTTTCGACACGTGGGTTTAAGAACGCGTTATGCCATTCGCGTAGCGTGCTCGTTTCGGCTCATTGCTTTAAGAACGAGTTATTATTTTTGTGTATCGTGCTTGTTTTGACTCATCGCTTTAAGAACGACTTATGTGTACCGACGTCCGTGCTTGTTTCGACTCATGGCTTTAAGAACGAGTTCTGTTGCCTGTTAGGCTTGCCATTCTCGACTTAGGGCTTAAAGAACGAGTTATGTTACACGTTCAGTGTGCTTGTTTTGACTCATGGCACGACTAGACTTCCTGTGATTCCATCGGAATCGATGTGTTTCCAATGGATCCGATGGACTCCATCGGACGACTTTCCAACCCTCCTTTAAGTATTGTTTACACTTCCGGTTTCATGTGATGACTAAACTTCCGGTAACTCAAGTGGACTCTACTGAACTTCCGGTTTCATTTTTCGACTAGACTCCGTCGGACTCCAGGTTTTGTCCACTGGAATCTGGTCGAGAGTATTGGACATGTGTGAGAGATGTGATAATCGGGGGATAACTAATGTGGCCCAATTGCATTACAGTATTATTGTGGATGTCAGGAATAAGCCATTGTCATTACAAATGGAAGCATTTATTTCAGCATTTTTTACTTCATTTGTCGGAAGAATAATTTCCCCTTTTTAGTGAATCCTTTTGAAATTTAGACAACAATAGACCTACCGGTAACTTGCACAAGAACGCAAAATCCTATAAAGCATTCTGGTAGTTACTATATGGCTGTAATAGTAATAAAAATAGTTAAAGGTTGACACTTAACAAAAAAAGAGAGTGCAGCCACTTAGAATATTAGCAAATGCTGCTGCGGTAAGTGATTCTTTAGTTCTTCGGAACATTGCTTTTGTTACATGTAGTCTGTTCCAATACATACAGAAGAACTCAATTATGAAGATCCCCGTCACATTTTTTTAATCTTGCAGTTTATCTTGATGTACATATTGACTGCGATTCGATCACTGGACCTGGACTACCAGGAAGAGGCGTTCCGTCTGCACAAGACGTTTTAGATTATATAAGATTCAAGTTCTTTAAATCAGCTGGTCCGCGTGAACTGGAAGAGGTGAAGGGTGAGGAGCAGAAAGTGAAATGTAGCGGTGCGACTACCAGTCTGGAAGAAGAGTGTTCCCCTGTCATAGAACCTGGTCCACAAAAGACAGATACAACAGTGGGCCATGGCGATGGTGAAAATGAAAGCATATCCTCTGCAAAGTTGGCGGATCTTCAACTTAAATTGGAAATGGAAAAGACAACGTCGCCCTCTACTTCGCTTCCCACAGTTGTTGACATACGGCTTGATGACACAGTAGGGTTCTACCCTTCCCAGGAGTTTTTGGGTAGAATTGCTTCAAAGTACCTTCAGGAAGTGGATCCATCACCACCAGAGGAGTTAAATGGTTTTTTACAGTATTTGAAAAAACATCGCGATGTTAAAATTGTTGGTGTTAAAACAGGAAGCTTAATAATGACAGCAGAGTGTAGCTCTCTCGGGAACTTGGATGAATTGTGGAAAGCCTATTGCATAGGTTACCTAAACGAAATGGCACAATTTCTAGTAACACGGGATGTTCTGACAAGATTTGGTCTAACCGAGGTGAAACTTATAACTACCATCGTGAAAGAAGAGTATGAAGCTTGTCGAGAGGTGTTTTTAAAACAAGGTGCAGGTGCGTATATTTTATGGATACTGTCACATCTTTTCCGTAGGTTATGATACTGTAAAATAGAAGAAAGGTAAAAGGTGTTCGTGCATCCTGATGTAAGCGGCAGAAATAACTTCAGTGCAATCGTGTCTCCGGTTCTTTTTGAAAATTTTTTAGGTCGTTCAGGAAGTGTCAGGCCCACAGGGGTCAACGATTTATCCTGAAGTATTATATATTATTATCGCGGTTTTGGAATAACAGATAGGATTCAATTGAATTGGGAACATTTTCAAACATAAAGAAGTAAACAAATTTTGTAATTTTCACCTGACAGTTTTTCCAAAGGCTTTAAACATTTTCAAGGTGAAACTTAAAGGTTTTCCCATGTATCTCTCTTTAAGTGTGGAATGACCGTTTGCTACTTTATTCTTTACTTTAAAAGGGTACATGGTATTTTGTGTGTAAAAAAGCTTAATTACCGTAAAAATATTCCTTGAAAGTCTCGGTAACGTTTCCGCCACGAAATCAAATCAAATATTCAAATCAAAATCTAAAGAGTGAAAGCGCAGGTCCTAGTTAACAAACCAATCCATTTTGTTGAATTACCTCGATCTTGAATGTAATTTGAACAACAACAGTTTCCGGGCATGTTAATGATTAGGACTTTCGACTAGTTCACACATAACAACAGGCTGCGCCGCGCCGATCTCTTTTTTAAAAGTAGAGAGTCACATACCGGATGTATATACCGGACATATCCGGTTTAGGTTGAGCATAGGCTGAGAAATGGGCCCCCTGAGGTCATTACCAGTTAAACACGGCGAAATTTTTTTCATTTGCGGTAATTCAGCCATGCTATTAACCGGGAATAAGTTAAATTTTTGAATGCATACGTGAGAAAAGAGACTTTGTACGTGTAAAAGGCCAAAAAGAATCTTTTTGTTCATAGAAGCTTAAAATTAATCATTCAATTCGACAGGGATTCTGTTCGCACATAAGCCTGCGAACCGCAGACGTATTTGCGGTCGTCGTTTCTCTCTCTCCGAAACAAGAGCCGGCGGGTGAAACAAGAGCCGAAAAAAGCGTCTGCTCTCCGCAGGCTATTCGCACGTAAGAACAGCGATTTTGGCGCCATTTCGGTAACTGGGCGAAGCTACGCGCGCCGGTCTCTTGGGCTGTGTTCCACGATACCGGAGCCTTTTTATTATAGCTTTTGTGCTTATTGTAGGGCTGCTGTTCACACATAAGAACGGTGGTTTCAGCGCGATTTCGGTAACGGAGCGAAGCTGCGCCGGGCGGATCTCTTAGGCTATGTTCACACTATGTCGGATACTGTACAACTATCCCCCGAAGGGGAGGTGAATAATGGTGGCGTCGAGGTATATATCTAGCGCTGGTCAGCGACCCTGATGGGGATAGTTGTTTTAGTATTTACCAAATCAGTTGGATAAAACTGAAAAAAAGTAACTCTTTGTAAAATAAAAGCGTCACTTAGCAGGAACTTTGTTTACAATTTACAAACATTTCGGGGATTTTGTCAAGTGTATTTTATGATTTTGTTGCAAATTCAGCATGAAAATAATTTTCTATCTACCAGTGAACACCGACAAGCCAATGTTCATCGCTTTCTTGGTATTTGTTTGTACGACTGCCTCTTTACCGCACAAAACGCGCGAAAATTGCTATTCACTGATTTGGTAAATACTATTTTTTATTAGCTTTATGCGGCAAGAAAACCATAAAAACGTATAAGCAGTAATTTTAATTTTTTCCTGGTGATATTCGCACTAGAACTTCAAGTCAGACATATTACTTTAAGTGGTTAGACTTGAGGCAGGCGTGAATAGAGAAAGGCATTAATGCTTTCTAGACAAGTATTCAACTTGAGATTAATTTAACAATCCGTGTCCCAGGCGGGGATGTGATTAGACTCTTATGCAAGGTTTCTATGAAGGTAGCATTTTAAATGCTAAATACTTATCTATTACCTGTACTCTATTGCCGGTATGTCTTTAAGGCGAAGGGGGGTAGGTTCAGCTAAAAGATGGTAGACTTGCTGTTTATTTTTGGTAAGAATATTGAAGAACTTGAAACCCTTGTAAATAGGGACATGAAACGTGTACAAGTGTGGCTTGAAAACAATCAATTGACTTTGAACCTAAAGAAAACTAACTATATATTTAAATCTCATAAGCAAAAATGGAAGAAAGAATTGAAGATTATGCTGAATGAATATGAAATAAAACAGATACATAACACTGAGTTCTTAGGAGTAATGACTGATGAGCATCTGACGTGGAAAAATCATATAAACTATGTAACATGCAAAATCAGCAAAAACAGTAGGAATTTTATGCAAGGCTCGCCCTTTTATAGGGAAGGATTTATTGTTAAGTCTGTATTACTCATTGATATACCCTCACCATATCTATGGTAATATTGTCTGGGATAATAATTACAAGACAAGACTTGATAGTCTAATCAAAATGCAAAAGAAAGTAGTGCGTGTGATAACTTTTTCCTCGTACTCTGAATCACCAAAGCAGCCCTTTCAAAAATTGGAGATCCTTAATGTTAATTATTAATAGGTTGCCGTATAAGTTAAGAGATGTTTACATTTTGAATAGTCAACTTTATTCGTATGCTACACGGCGAAACAACATTTACCCAACAGACTACGGCTATTATTCAATACAGTGTAAAGGGACGAATTTGTGGAACTCTATACAAGAAGATTTAAAGAACATAAAATCACATTATAACATAGCTAGAAAATTCGCCTAATCAAATTCAATAGCGCGAGCGTGCTTCATTTAACAAATAGATTCCATGTTGCCGTGCGTCTGTTCAGTAATAGATCACAGATGACGTTAAAATGTCGTAAAAACAAAGAAGTGGCACACGAGCCGCAGGCGAGTGTGACACTGTTGTTTTTACCACATTTTGACGTCCTCTGTGATCTATTACTGAACAGACCCACGGCAACATGGAATCTATTTGTTTTATACAATGATCAGAAAAGAAAAAGACCGATACACATACCTGCCTCGAACCGCTTGACCTTTTGAGGATTTGTGCTAGTTTAGGCATTTTTTAAGTCCCAAACCCAACTTTTCATCTTAGCTTCTTCTTTATCTTACTTGTGTACAGTTTCTTCGAAAAGTTTTTTACCGTCTTTTCTTGCTCAAAGAAGAATAATAGCGAAAACATTTTGCAAAACAGCGAGTCTCTCGTAGCGAAGACACACGATGGCAACTGTTGTGAAGATTTCTTGTAGTTTAGGCATTGTCAAGTAGTCAATAGCTTTTTTGGTCTCCGTTTCTCCATTTTTCTTCTTTGTAAATAGCTCTTGCTAAACTTTTTCCGAAGCTTTCACTTGGCTCAATCCGAAATAATCTCACAAACATTTTCAAAACCGCGTGCCATGTTGAACAAAACAAAGAAAACAAGTTTCCCGTGATGTCATCCATGTATCTGTACTTTAATAGATCATGGGCAACGACCAATCACAGCGCGCGTAGCATTCACATCATTGTATAAATTCCTATTGAGTACGCTGATGACGTCAATAAACTATTCGTAATTCCTCGAGTTGTTGTGAGCTTAGCAATCCTGAGTCTCCTGAGTGCATCCATAACTCAGCAGTAGAATGAAGCGTTTACCATGTGTTTTATAAGGAAATTTAAGAGGAAACGTTTGAATTTGTTAACCGATAGTAAGGAAAAGAGGTGAGTGTTGTTGTTGTTGTGATCTCCGCGAGCTGTGAGGGCTATGGCGTGAGTTCATTCTTTGCAAAGTTGTTTTCTCTCAATAACAATTTTTCGGTAAATTAATAGTTTTCCGGCACCTAAATATGGATTTTACAATCATTTTAGAGTACATTTTCTCTCAGTTTCAGGATAAAAACACAAGATTAACTGTGAGGAAAAAAAATATATAGTCACGTAAACATTGACGCGTACTGCTTTGAGCGCGCCCTACAATAATAAAATTTTAAGTTAACTGCTGCATTGATCGCTTTGATAATGTTATAAAACAATTAGTTCATTCTGCAGCTGTGCGTATGTCGAGATATTGAGCACTTGGGAAGTTTGGAGAGCACTCAAGAGGCTAGAGTTGCACTCGGCTGCGCCTCGTGCAACTCCTACGCCTCTTTCGTGCTCTCCAAACTTCCCGCGTGCTCAATATCTCGACATAGCACGCTGACGCATGAACTAATTGTTAAATATAGTATGAAAAAGAAATTACAAAAGTATCTTTTGTCACAACAGTGTTTAGAGAATGCTTAGTGGTGTGCAGGTTTATAAATTGAAATTCATTTATAGTTAGATTTATAGCTAGATTATGCTACATATGCCGTCTAGACCTGATAAAAAAATTTAAAATATAGTGAACAATAGGGGAATCTTGTAAAAGCCCGTAAGGGTTTCCTAAATTCCCCATATTGGTGTGAGTATAATATACTCACACCAATATAATCAATATAATAAAGTTAGTGTTGTTGTTGTTAGCTTTTAACAAGAGATATATAAAATGTAAACGACTCTTTTAATTAAATTCGCGAAACTTAAGTGGCGTATGCCCGGCGTGGCAAACGGAACGAAACCGAACCAAAAATCAATCGAACTCAGGCAAACCAAATCGATGGGATTGTTGTTCGATTGGTTCGGTAATCGAACATAATCGAACTGTAGCTAGCTTGAACTTTTCGGTGGTTTCGATTAATCGAACCCGTGAGTTCGATTACCGAACTCAATCGAACTTAATCGAAGCAATTTGTTCGATTTTGCTTGACAGAAACACAAAACGGTTTAAAAATCAGTGATCATTTAGTTTTAATTGAATCGAAAAGATTTCCCTCTGAGGCAGGTATGAAAGGACATTTCAGTTGACTTAGATCGTTGTTGTTAAAGTAATCAAGAAATTCGTAGTTAATACTGGAAGTGCTTAATGACCTTTGCGGGAATAAGACTTACACTTTGACTTCAACGGCCAATGGGCAATGCACAGGCATCAGTTCACGTTGTAAAGTCTAAACTGGCAGGGCCGCCGCCATTGCCAGTTACCGTAAGAGCTGGATCTCTACCTCCTCTTTTTTTCACCAAAAAACTTTCCATCCATACCGACGGCGAAAGAGCACTCGTGCTAACCTTTAACCATCAGTAACGCCCATCGCTTCCAGAATTGTTAGTTTCACGCTGGGTTTTACGATTTCCGCCTTCTCCGACATGTTGCCTGTATACTCGTGTTTGAAATTTAAGCTAACGCAACTTATTTTTTAACCACAATGCTTGTTTGAAACGAGATCTGCTGACGAGATGAAACTTGTTTTGTGTTCAGTTGTTGAAGTTTCCATCTCAAAACGTTCGATTGTGTTCGATTGGCAAAAGTTTTGGGTGAGTTCGATTACCGAACCCAGTCGAAGTCAATCGAACGATCGGAGTTCAGTTGGGTTCGATTGACTACGCCGGGCGTATGAAAGCCCAGCTCAATTCTAAGATAACGCCTGCGACATGCCATTCAACATTTTGTTTCAACAAGCGTTTACGTGAATTTTACGTTTAGCTGGTTGTCAAGGAACACCGGGTACCTTTAAATTTGCCAGCTTATTAAAGGTTTCAAGTCCAACAGTCCCATAAGCCAAGTCCACACTCGGCCACCGTAGTAGATAAAGTCAGACTTAAGTCTTACCTGAAGTTCTAGTGTGAACCCACAAACCTTTGTTCATCCTATTGGAAACACTAACGTCAGTTACTCGGATGTATTTTTTGGACCATTTTCTTCGCTTTTTTTCCGGGTTTGTCCAATTATAGGCTTAAACTAAAATATTTTTATATCTTAAAGAACCCAGAGAGACCCCTGAAATCCAAGCCAGTAACCGCGATAGTGATGATGACGAGAGAGACCGTGGCAGCAATAAACCCAAAGGGTATTCAGAAAACCCACGTCAGATACAACAAGAAACCATCCAAGACATATCAAAGGAACCATCAACCCGTAGGTAAGTTATAGAACAAAAATTCAGAATTATCAGTTTAAGAACCAACAGAGGCCTCTTCCATGTGCGTTAGATCAATTTGAATTACAACTGCAATATACTTTGAGCGCTTTAACAGACTAAGAGAACTACAACCTCGGATAAAGCCTTTTGAGACACATTTCAAAAGTGCCTGTTTTTGCACTGATCCCGCAGGGCTCTCACACAATCTGTTTGTGTAACTGTTTGTAATTTTATGGTAAATGCTAGATTTACCGTTTGCTTCACCTGTAGCGGTATATCGCTAAATATTTGCGTGGATCATTGCTAAATAAGCGTTGTATCATACGTTACCTATGATAAATTGCCGTCTTTTGCCTCAAAAGTGGTATGTTGAGCGACTTTGCAGGATTCCTCTTAGGACGAAACGGCGAGATTACCGGGTAGAGTAAAATGTTAATATACCACGGGCAAACACGGTACCCTTTACAACGAAACAACAACAACAACAACAATAATCTTTATTTTCCCTTTATTCAAGTTTCACAAAAGTGCACGGGCGTGCAGGTAGCTATTAGGGAACTTAAGCACCAGACGTTCTTGATTCACGAACGGCATGGCTGGCCGGGCAGAACTGGATCGGGGGCGCGGTTTGCGTGCCAAATGCAAATCATTAAGCAAAACAACGTGAAACCATCACGACCGCCGACAGAATAATTCAGGTGAAAATGCCTTTCAAAGATTTGCGTTAAGTTTTGTTTCTTTCTTACGAAGAAAACATGATTTCAGACGAAAAATTTATACTTTTGTATGACAAATACCCTTCGAAGAACCCAGAATTTGAACCTCTGGTTTCAACCTGAGAACTCGCGTTTTGAAGTCAGTGACCGCTGCTCAAGAACGTCTTGACATGCGCAGTGGCTGTCATGCTGCAAAAATACTTCCGGTTGGCGTCCGTGGTACCAATGCTAATCTTGGCGGACCAGTCAATTGACGTGTAAAGAATAATTTTATTGTTTTATGTATATGTTTGTCTATATATGAAAGATTATACAAAGGAGAGAAAGAATTTACTTTTCGTTCTCCTTTTGGAGTGATTTTACCCTACCTCCCATTTAACAAATGAGTTGGTATCCATTTTAAACAAGTTGACTAAAGACTACACGTCCTCACATTATCAAGTTCCTGTGTCCCACGTATATATGCGTTTTACTGTAAACACATGGAAAGCATGTTCCCCTTTCTGAGCCAATGAACAAAAACAATGCATCTTTTACAGGGGGAATTTTTATCAAGTAAGTTATCAACGAAATAAATGCGAAGAAGATCATAGTAGTTTAAGACTTAACTTGAGCACTTGCGGAAAGAAATCCTTAACAGACTGGGGATTGCCTTTAAGATAAAAAAAAATAATAATTTGTCAGACAGTTGAACAATGTTATAAAGTATTTTACTATAACATTTGCTTTGGTACCTTTAGGGGACCTGGAGATTTACCCGGGGACCTCGTGAGTGCTGTTTCTGGTTATAGCTCATTTTCATCCGAAGAGGTGAGCAAGCAAATTAAAGTTTGGAACAAATGGCCCTTTTCCGATTTTCTGAGTTTGACTGTACGCAAAAGCTTTGCTCATGCATCAGTCAAGAAAGCATTTGCAATAGGGAGCTTAAGCAACGACGATGGCGACGGCAACGAGAACTGCAAAAAAGCAATAGGGTTAGATTGGCAAAACAACAACTTTGCACGTGCACATCACGCTTCTTGGTACATTTCTTGGCCGTCATTGCACGGCTACAACGTGAAAGTGCCTTATTTCACGTTTTGTCGAGGACGGGAACACAAGACAACAAGTTTCTTGTATTTTTCCTGAACTTTGATTCAGTCCTTTAGAATTGACCACTCCAGAAAATACCATAACATACCATAATACTCTTTGTTTGTCGCCCCAAAATTTCGCATAAGCATTGTTTTCAGTTTCTCTTGGGGCCATATCAACTCCCAAGAGAAACTGAAGACAATGCGTATGCAAAATTTTGGGGTGGCAAACAAAGAGCATTATGGTATGTTATGGTATTTTCTGGAGTGGTCAATTCAACTCCAAAAAAATTTGCCAACATTTGACAAGTTAAACAAGATGAATAAGCGTGATAAAGTTTGAGGCAGCGCGAATTCACTTTTTAAATGACGTTTTCCTAACTGTCGCCGTCGTTGTTACTTAAGCTCCCTAATCCTTTTTTGACTCACGGGTAAAATCTCTTTCTCTTTAACAGATAACGCCACTGGATCCTGAGTGCTCATTAAAGGCAGAAGGTAACAATTGCGTAAAATTGGCTGTCAGGCTAAAGGACAAGGCTGTCTAGTGTATTAGCTAAATAATCAAGGGTTTGAGGCGCAGTTACCATCAATATATGTTAAGAATTTTCTACGTAGACGGAAAAATTTTAAAAGGCATTGAAAGCGATTTGTCGTGTAGCCTGTGCCAGGTTCTCAGATAGTACGAACGTCGCGAAAACAAGGTCAAATGAACTTGTAAGACTCGCGTGATCAAGAAAACGGGCGCCCCTACTCTCCCCAGCCCTCCCCTTGCCCCCGCGTTTTTCGCATCAGTTTTCACGATCCTTGCGCATCACTATCTTGGAGCTTTGAACAGGCTATTTGTTGTACGACAAGTATGGCGAGTTCGTAGCAGCGCCACATCGTGTGCGATATTAGCATCCATGTCCAATACTCACCTTGAAGTGGTAGGAGACATACAAAGTGAGTTGCTTTAGCCAAAATGGTCAGTAGAGCGTTTATCTTTGTAATAGTGTTTTACTACATGATCTTGTTGGCCTCTTATTTATTCTTAAAGATGATTTGTCAGCAAGCGATACGGATAAATCACCACAGACAGACGAGAATGTTTTATCCAGCGTACTTACCAGCAAGGGTGGTGTAGTGGATGGGGAGGGGATCAGACTGGTTTACCCTCCAGGAGCTGTTGACAGTCCCCTGAATGTAAACATAACATCTGAAGATCCTTCCAAGTATGAGGGCTTTCTTATTCGGAAGGATCTCGAAAATGACGTCATGTTTAGTGCACCCATCCTCAATCTTCAACCGAATGGCCATTTCTTCAAGAAGCCTGTCACCGTAACAACCAAGTTCACAATTCAGGATATTAGGTGTAGTGACGTTCTTGTTTTGCATGGCACCGATGCAGGAGCCGGGAAGATTACTTGGGAGGATATTACTGAAAAGACAAAAATCGATGAAGAAAACCAACTCGTGACCGTTGAAATAGCACATTTCTCTCGAATTGTGGTTTTGTCACTAAAGTGCAGTTGGACTCGCAAAGACATTTTCTCCCGGTTCAACCTACGGGCATTTCAGTACACGTTATATGTATTAAAGAAAAGCTGTTCCTCGTCCGAGCAAGTTGAGAGAGAAGTTGAAGAAGAACTTGCCCTACTATTTGTGAGCGAAGACGTGTGTCACGAACAGTTATACAAAGAGCAGGAATCTTCAGCTTTGGTCCAACTAGAAAAAGAACGATTTGTAAAGCTACATGTTCGCTGTAGTGATACCCAGGAAAAAAGGCGGATATACCACAACGAAATCCTTCGCTTAGAGATTCACATTGGGGAAGACTACGAGGTAGTTGAGGAAAATACAGAGTTCAACGTACAGTCTTCAAATTGGTGGAACGCTGGAGAGGTTGTCAGGCTTCCTCTTCAAGCGAATCAAGATGTCAGAAGTTTGTGCGGAACGATCACCGTACGAGGAGAATACGGACACATTAGCACTTGGCACTTCAGTGAAGAAGGTAAGTTTGTGAGGATGATGTTTAGCCAGTCAGTCAGTTCCCCCAACAGGAAACGAAGCTTTGGCTATGTCAGTTGTTCAAAAGGTGTGTAGCTCTATTCACCGGATAAATCACTCTCCAAGCCTCGTTTGTAGTCAAAACTCTTCGCATTCGCATTCTTTGGACGTGAATATTTCTTTCAACTGTTCTACCCCTGGCTGGGAATTCATTTATGTAAACCTTGGCAAATCGGCGCAACTATTCAACTTCAAAACAATGCGTGGTGGTGAAATTTGCTCGTCTGACGTAAACATGCGTAAGGGTCATTGAAAACGGAATTATTTTTCCGAATAATTATCCACTGGATAGTACTTTATCCGGTGGATAGGTGAATAGCGCTATCCACTTTCTGTACAACTGGAGCCAGATGCTCTACTACTGAGCTACAGGAAACTCGTGGCAGCTGAGGCCATTAAACGAGCTTCATTGGACAAACATTCTGCATACTACTAGGTCTGAAATGTGTGTTTGCTTGCTATAGGATAATCTACATACTAATGTTACTTTTGTACCGTTTTCGATGACAGTGGCAAAACGGCTGTGAAGTGATTTATATTTAGTAAATAATTGCCTCTTTACTGTGGGCTGTTTGGGCCAATACCAGAATAACGTTATTTTTCACAACCGATTTCAAGAGCGCTGTCTTGAGTGGTAGGCGCTAAGAAGGTAAAGGGGATTTTCAGTACTCGCTTTAAGCACATTAAGTACTGCGAGGGCGAGTGTGCGCATCATCTACCTATACTTAAGTATGTATTTTTAAGTTTCCTTAGTGTCATTGTAAGAGCATTGAGACCTTGTATTATACTCTAAATATATTGCTATTATTATTATTAATATTAATAAAATAATAATTATTGTTATTATTATTATCACCTTTCCTTCACTTTTAAGCGCTTCTTCAGGATTCCATCTTTATGGGGATATTTATTAGTCTCTTCATCAGCTCTCTTGTTTATAACAGCGAGGATTAGCGTAGTTGGTTACTGCCCGGCCTTCTATGCATGGTGATGCGGGGGGACCCCGACCTCGATTGCCAGTTGTGATCTCAAATCCTTGTTTCGACTTCTTTCCTTTACGTGTAGCTTCTAGTACCTTCAAATACCCATAAAACGGAGCACTGATGGAGAGAAGGCGGTAAAATGAACACCCCGTCTGCCTCAAAAATGTCGGTCTAATGATTGCAGTCACGAGTTACCGACACAAAATGAGGACCTTTACCCAGTTGCATTTCAAGCGGCCTCAGGTCCTTCGTTATCGAATTTTATGGTTGTATCCGTCTACTCTTGATACGAAAAAATATGATATGCGGTTAGCTTACTTACATTTTTATCCTTTTAGTTTCAGACCTCTGTGGCTATGTAAGGAGCTTGCTTGGTGTAGAAGATGCCATTTTTAACTTGATTCCCATTGCTAGGTCGCTTGACATGCCTGACAAGGTATTGAATGATGTCACGAAGTGTTGGAAAGACGAAAGCAAGCAGCTGAACATAATTTTGAAATACTGGTCAACAACGGAGAAGAATGTGGCAGAAGATGTTGATGCTCTCAGAAGAAACCTTGAGAAGTTAAAACAGGGCTTCCCTGGTAAAGTTTTAACCCCTAGAATCTTTTAACTAACGCCAGTTATCCTCCAAAAAGGTTAAGAAGTTCACCATGACGATTTCCGTTGAAAAATTCAAGTTATTTATATGTCGACGCCTTTTACAAAACCCTTTTAGATACTTGCTTCCCACGCAGACGTTCTTTTGGCTCGTCACGCAATCCTATCGTGGGAAGGACCCCGTGACGAAGCCCTAAGCACGTCTGCATGGGAGGTTATTTAGATACTTGTTCATCACAAGTACTAAAAGTTGTGTTCATCTAAAGCTATTCACGACAATTTCATTTGTAACCTTTCTTTCTTCTATTAATTATATAAGTAAGTAACTAATTTATTTATTTACCGTAAAATTCCGAAAATAAGCCCCTCTAAATGTAAGCCCCCCAAACTCGTAACACAAATAAAAAACCTTTCGTGAAATCGCCCCTCCGAATATAAGCCCCCCGGGGGCTTGTACTTGGAAATTGCCCTCAAATACAAAGTAAAACAAACCAAAGACGGTAAATTTCCTTCCAACTATAAGCTACAATCCCGGACAAAACTACTTGAGAAAGTTTTCCCCATCATGTCCACTTTCCTACGCAACAAAACTATTTCTAAAACGACGCCTTTGCGGAAAGAAAACCTCTTCCCCCAATTCAATGTTGCTTCCCACAAGCGCCCAGGGATCAGGCTTTCTTTTGAATACACAACAACATTGCTTTCAGGGGAAGGGGGAGAGGGAAGAACCGGCACAGCTACGATGTTTAGAAAAATGCTGTCCAAGTATACAATTTTCTCAACAGTTTTGTCCAAGATTGTAGCCCAGTCGATTTTGAAACGCAAACTTCCCTCCGTACATAAGCCCCTCAAAAAGGGCCTTTGAAAAATATAAGCCTCGGGGCTTATTTTCGGAATTTTACGGTATTTTAACAATGAAAAGATTTGTCCTTTTTAAATCTTGCCTATTTTTATCTCCCGAAAAACCTCAGAGACATGTCCAGCACTTTGGGATTTTTGGAGTATTTCTTTCGATTTTTATCTCAGGAACAGTGGGATAAGGGACTGGGCAAACCAGCTGACATAATAGTCCCTGTTTACGGAGCCGAGTCTAAGTGTTTTGATGAAAAATGTATATTTGCACGGCTTGACGCACGTAGCATCTCTCTTTTGCGGAGTGGATGGTTCTTACTTTCAGCAACTAAACTCCACAACTAATTGACATGATATCTATTTAAAAAAAATCGGTCAGAACTAGAGCTAAATTTGACGTTTAACCGCGATGTTCGTTTGATTAGTACTTCTTCCGTGTCGCTACAATTCCATCCGTTCGGCTGTAATAACTTTTACATCTATCTATTGTAAATTGCCACTTCAGTAATTTCTGTTTACGTGTATTTTGCAAAAAATGTGTAAGGGGGTTGATCCTCCCCAGTCCCTTCCTTCCGTCTTGTTTAAGGTTGATGATGAAGAGTTGTTGGGTTGGTAACTGTCTCTCTTTGTGTGTCAAGAGTTGGAATAGACCGCCAAGTAATAAAAACGTATGGGACGATAACAGGTAGAATGGAACCATGCATTATATATCTGTTGATTTATTATTGTACAAATTGCATTTCTACAGACCAGGCAAGTTACAAAGTTACAGAAAGAGGCCAGATGCTTATAAGAAACTTGCGAGAACTTGCAACTAAGAATGCTGAGGCCGGTTTGTTTCACTTTTGCTCTACATTACTAAGAGACCTGTGCATCGAAATGGAAAGCTCCGCTGAGGGCGTGGAAAAAGCGGCCTTGTCCACAAACAGTGCAGAATATTTTTTAGTCAACCATTCAAATGAGAATCACCTATCAAGTGCAAACCGACGACCAATACCACAAGATGTCGCATCCAAGTATAGACAATTGTTTTCGCTGCCTAATAAGCCCTGTCTTAAAACTCTCCTGGCCATCACCCCTTACCTTATTCAAAACATCAAGGAAATCTATGTTGACTGCGAAAGTACGGAGCCACAAAATGGTTTAAAGGGATTGTCAAAGGAAAAAGTTGATCATTTCGTGGCAGATGTTGAAAAGGCAGAACAGGAGGAAGACTACGAGGGTCTTATTTTTTTGATATGTCGTGTTCTCGAAAAATTGTCCAAAAAAAATGTTAAGGATCCGGTACTTTTAGAAATCGAAGAGATGAGCGAAAGTCTGGAAATTCGTCAAATGCTGAAGCCTTTGAAGCGTTTTTTTCAGCACAGTCGGCAAGACATTAGATTGCATATGAGATTACACCTTTTTTCTCGTCGCCTTAGGGATACATTGACCAGGCGCGCGGAGAGAGAGAAAATTGACGTCTTTCCCCTTCATAATGTTCGCAACATGTTGTTAAGCCTTCTTTGTTTCGCCAAGCATGATCCATCAAAAATTGTAAGATTTGAGCTGACTGATGCAACCAATTTCCCTTTGTCTTGTTACCCTGAGAACGTAACATATAACAAGCCCGAAGCTACATACAGTCAGATGTTTCGCGTGAAAAAAGAGTCCGAGGAGGTACTTCAACTACATGCAGTAGCACTTGTTCATATCGAAGAAGACAAAGAAAGGAAAAAGAGTGAAATAGAGCAGAGAGAGAAAGGATCCTTCCAGTCTGAGATCGTGTTACATGCGTCCGACGAAAGAGCGTTTGACAGATGCATGAGACGTCATCCCAACATCGCTGTATTGAAGCTGAAGGACAAACGTTGTGGAAATTTGCGTGTGATCCTTTGTTCAAGGCAGCAAGAGAAACTCTTCAACGTGAAAATTGCCTTAGAACGAAAACTGCGTCTTGATTTCAAAACGTCGAAAATCACATGGTATGGCCTAAAAATGGCCTCCATTGAATCCGAGACAGGAGCGTTTTTAAGTCTGCGACTTGTGTACAAATGGGGATCCGAAAGAGTTGTTCTTGACAGCAAGGACTTTGTAACTTTGGCCAATTGCTCCGTTGGTGGCCCTGCATTTTCAGGTGGGATTTCTCAGGTAGTATTTAACAAATGATTCGTCTACACGTTAATCTATTGCTCCGTTTTATTTTTTAATTCTCCATTGCCAGTAATGGCTGATGTTTAAAATTTGTAAAGCTCATGCATGCCTTGTGGAGATACTTGTTTCCCTTGTTTCAATTGTCTCAGAAAGTAATTAACCTTGGGAAGCTTATTAAGCAACGACGAGGACGACGGCAATATCAAAGTCCCTGAAAAAAGTGATTTTGAATGTTTCCTGGTTCAAAAAGAGAAAGGAAAATTCGTCGTTGCATGTTCGCGTCCTCCATGACTGAAAAGGGCATGAGGAAGTTTTACGTCAAAGTCTTGCAATGGATGTCAAGGAAATGTACTAAAAAGGTTGGGGCATGTGCAAAGCTGTTGTTTTGCTCAGAAAACCAATTGTTTCTGGCGTTGTCATTGTGCTTACGCTGAACTTTCTTACGCTGTAAGGTCTACAAAAATTGTCGGTGGAGCATAAGGCGACCATCCCATCGTGAATTATCAGGGGTGAAGTGAAAATTTCAGCAAGTAGCTAATTTTATTATTTGTGTGGTTTTTATTACAGAACATATCATTATCACCAGTGACGGTGGAGATGGTCACTCTTTCTGCCTACTCGTTACCTACACTTAAGCCAAAAATATTTCGAATTAAAGATCAGATAAATAAAAGCTACAGCGTTTTCGTGTAATAGTACGAATAGACCGCCTCGTACCCCTGAGAAATGGTTAGGCTACCGGTTAGATGCGATATTGCCAGTAACCGTATGCGGAAAATCATTGTCGCCTGTTGTATAACTACTGGCAAGCATATCTGCTTATTTGTACTCGTTATCTTTCCTATGGTCTTGCGTTGTTGTAACTACCGCAAACTCAAAGTCAGTTCTTATTTTTATCTTATAGAAACTAGTCAAGCAGCTGAATCCTCAATGATGAATCCAGTATCAGACGAAGAGCGCGACGCGACACCCTCAGATTCTGACTCGTCCGGAAAGCAGGAAAAAAGAAGTAAGGATACAGAAACTTTTATTTCACTAGCCTGATTTTCAGACGGTTCAAGGTCGCTCGGTTTAATCCAGCCTCCTCCTTAAGTTGGAATTCGTGTACATTTGAAGGGAAGATGTCTGAAGTTACGGAACGTTTTACCAGAGCCCCTCTTAACATAAGGCCAGTATGCATTGAATTCCTCTTCACTGAATACATCAATTCACTGTATCCTGCTGTCAATTCGAATTGATTTATTCTGAGAACAAGCGTTGTGTCCTGAATGTCACGCTTCATTTAGTCGATGGTTATATTCAAACGGATGTATATTCCACGCGTACAGCCACCCTCTTATATCGTTCCCTTTCAAGTCTAAGTGTGTCTTAAAGGCCATCCAATTTAGTGTTGCCACGAGACTGCGCATGCGCAGAAATTGCTCTCATGATAAGTTTCTTCGTTAAAAGACTTGAAGAATAGATTGGCTTTTGGTGGTGCAGAGGTATTTATCTGATTGAAATAGTTTCCCGGGAGTTTTCTCGAGTTCTCGATTTACTTACACCGAAGGCCGAAAATTCTAAGGCCTAGGCCAAACGTCGAACTTTACATGAGACGAACTAAACTCTAATTTGGGTCGACCTCAATTAAGTTAAGATCGTCTGTTGGGTCAGACGTCGAACTTAGGACGCGTTGAACCAATAAGACAACAAAATAATAAAGCAGCGGATTTTCACAAGAAAACAGTTTGCCATCTCATGCCCCAGTTTTACGATTGGCTGAATGTTTCCCACTTAAAGTCATTGGTTTTTGTGTAGAAAACTGAAAATTTAACATTTAAAGAGTTGATTGAAATGTTTATTTTGGAGAGCAAAACCATACGTCGAAAACTGTAACGGTAAAATATTTAGTAGTTTCTTTACATCAGCTTCTACTTTGTACGCGCTGATCACGCCATCTGTCTGCGGCGAGGATTTAAAGAAAAGGTTTTCAGCTTAAAAATCGAATACGTTACTCTTTTCTTCTACAGTTAAAACTTGAAAATTTTGTGGCATCTTTCTTTGCTTTAGCTTCGTATTTGCCAATTTCTGTTCAACACCTCGCGACTAGTAAGAATTATTCTTTCAATCAGAACCCCTATAACAAAAGTTTTTCTTCTAAATTTGATTTTTGGGACTACGTTACGGCTATATAATAACGGCAGTAGGAGAAAATATATTCCATATGAAAAAATAAATAGTAACTTTCGGCATTCTCGCCCCCAGAGCTACTCGTTTGTCTTAAAAACTGATTGCGCATGATCAGTGATAAATTTTCTCGGGAAAGAGGCTAAATGTTTAAAATGTACATTATCTTACAAATTTTAATTTATTTATCGCCCACGTTTGATGTATTAAAATTCTTACATGACTCCAGGGCTTCTGGTCATATTTCTATATTTGGTTTGGTTTTCTTTGTACTCAAGTCTCTTCTGGAAATGGTGAGACAACGGAGTCCTGAAAAATTTGCAATTTTGTCCCCAAAGCCTCGGAGTCATGTTATAATTTTCATATATCGAACGTGGGCTATTTGGTTCGTCTCATAAGAAGATCGACGTTTGTCCCGGAGACGATCTTCAGACATTCTATCTGTCCGTGCCTACAATCTACGCGACAATGGTAGCAGACTTAATAAATCGACCCATAATACTAGTGTCAAGCACGAATATTTTTCGTATGTTGCGTGCAAACTCTGGGACAAGCTACCTTCTCATGTCAGAGAGGCCATCTCAAGAATTTTGTTGCTTATTTCAAAGTACCTAAGCTGGGCCTAGACGAAATTTGCTGTAAACTCTGCTCTACTTAAATTGTCTATGAAAGTGAAGAATGATCATCGCAGTAAATTTTCCAATTTAAGCAATTGGAAAGAAGAAGCCTGAAAAAAAAAATCAGGGCTTCAACGGGATTCGAACCCGTGACCTCCGCGTTGCTTCTTCTTTTCAATTGCTTAAATTTACTGCGATGATCATTCTTCACTTTCATCTACAACCGCAGTTCAAAAATGAATTATTTCATATACTTCACATCATTAAATTGTCTAGTTGTAAATAGTATACCAGATAATTAATGTAAGTTATTTACCCTTAGATAAATACACGTACATTTTTATAGGCCTTCTTACCAGACTGACCATTTGCATCTAAATAAGGATTGACTGATTGATTCATTGATTTCTTGATCGATAACAGAAACAGCGTCTGTCACTGTTGACACTGATCCACCAGAAGTCACTATTCATCAGCTTAAGAATAAGAATCTTCCTGGAAGGTCAAAACGTTTGGATGATCGCCGACTCCCTGTCGACATTTTGTTACTAACGGTGGAAGATTGGGAATTTCTGAGCTGTCTTTCATATTTGAATCCTGGTTTCGGTAAGTTTTGCCACAGCGAACTTGGCTTCGTGTACCTTGGAGATATGGGAGACGACATGAAGCTTAACATCGCTGTCATTAAGTGCGGTAAAGGAGCTTCTGTACTTGCTGTAGAAAATGCTGTCAAAGTCTTGGGTCCGAAAGCAGTGTTTGCTGTGGGTTCTTGTAGTGGCTTAGACTGTAACAAAGCTAAACTTGGGGACGTAGTAGTTTTAGATAAGTTAATAACATATGGTCCTTCCAAAGTCACGGAGAATGGCATTGAAGAACTTGGTGTTAAAGTTCCATTGAAGCCTCGTCTTTCAAAATTGACAACAACTGCTGGTGGTGGCTGGGAGCCTCCTTTGAAAGATGCAAGCGGACTTGAGGTGGAAATACATCGCGGCGCCTTTTTGAGTGGACCAGAAGTAGTTGAAAGTCGCGAGCGATGTCGCGCCCTCATCGAACGATTTCGAGGAGCAGTTGCTATAGAAGGAGAAGGTGAAGGTACGTCTCTTGTCCGATTCACATGGTTAACAGAGTCTTCAGGAATTCAATTATTGAACTGAAAAATTATTACTGTTATTTAGCAATTAATGAATGAGGCTGAGTAGGATATCAGGGATTCATATCTTCGGCCTCGGCGGATAACACCCTCCGAGATCTGCTTAATTCTTCATATCCTACGAAAGCCGAATTCATTAACTGTTTTATGATTCATTCAAAATAACTCCTAGTATAAAAAAAAAGCTAAAACATGCTCAACTGGATCGATGTTAAGTTCATCTTTGACAGTGTACCTTTAGGTTTGTCCAGCTCCGCAAGTATTCTCCAAATAGCAGATGTCACCCTCCGAGTTGTCTTCTTGCTTTTTGTGCCATGTTTGTAGCTATTATTTCGCCGAGTTTCAGCTGTAGTTCTTACTCTTGAAACGAGCGAAATGTCCGCCAACAACTTAACCTCGTCCCCAGGTCATCTCGGTTAACGGTGCCTTAACCTGTAGCGGGCTGCATTTTTGACGTCATTTCCTCGTTAAACACAAAATTCTTCCAAATTTGGTCATCAGTAACTGGTCAGGGTGAATTATGCGTGTGCTTTTAGCCAGTCAGAATTGGGGAAATAGTTTGAATGAATAATAAAATTATTTATTGTTACATCTATCACTATCATTAGTACACATATGCACTGATCACCATATTTTCTCGTCCTTGTTGTTTATTTCAAACTTGACTTGGTGAACCGGGCATTTGTTTGAATTTACAGACCATAAAGACCTGTTGGTTTTCAAGAAAGGGCTTTTTATGCCATTTTCTTGACAGCTGGCTACCTTGCCTCTAAATCTTTGGGTTATTAACCACAAATAACGGTCTCTTTTTTTAAAAAAGACCCGCCGTTTCATCGATAAATACGGTACTGGGTTGTTTGACGTCATGGCCTTCTGTAGGGCGTCCACATGAGTCAGCTCTTAACTCCATTTCTGTCCTTCCTCCATCCCAAAAAATTCATATTTAGGTGTGTATGCAGCAGCGCATGACCTAGACATTGAGTGGATCGTAATTAAAGGAATTTCAGGCTTCGCGGATGGCACAAAAGTTAAGGATTCGTGGAGAACATTCGCGAGTTTAATGGCGGCTTCCCTTACAGCTCACATTCTCAGTGACACCATTGCTTTTCAGGACTTGCCACACTATGGAAGTGCAAGTGAGTATTGGGACATTCAGGAAACATTCACGTTATATTTTCCCATACCATCTCCTGGTCTTTTCATAAACAAATAAAATTAAATAAAGAAATAAGCTCTTTATTAATTCCAAAAACAAACGTTCCGGATTACGATTGACTATTAGGTAAAATTGACAGGTAACCTTTCAATAAAACAGCGTTTAAAACGTGCAGTCCTAAATTTAAGGAAGCACATAGGAATGACTTTCATTCTTTAGCAATAGACCTTTTTACTGATAGGGCGGCCATATTGAATTAATTCGATTTAAGGAGTATTATAGGATGCCCAGGGGGGGCATGAGCACATTTCGTTTGTATTTTTGAGAGCTCTTCGGGACATTTTTTCTTAGAATAAGATTGTAATGAGAGAGACGATCCTCGTTCCGTGTTTGGATGTAATAATGATCGCCTTTTTCTAAGTTTAGTATTAGAAATATGGTCTTTCACTGTATATTTCTCGGGAAAAAGGCGATCATTATTACATCCAAACACGGCGCAGGGATCTTTTTTCCCATTACAATCTTATTCTAAGAAAAATTCAAGAAAAAAATGTCCCGAAAAGCGCTCGAAAATACAAACGAAATGTGCTCATGCCCCCTGGGCATCCTATAATACTCCTTAAATCGAACTGATTCAACATGACCGCCGTATCGGTAAAAAGGTCAATTTTTTTTTACCGTGGGGGAGATCCGCCTAAGGGCCCTCAGTTGAATTTCTGACGCTCTTCCACAACTTACTATTTGAGGCCTCTAGAAGGCTTAAAACGGGCGTGGCCTCCTTGGGAAAGTTAAAACGAACTGCTCTCTCTCGAAACTTATCAATTTTAGAAAGAACTTATCATAACTCGCAACACCCCATACTTAAAAAGAGCATTAATCAGACCATGGAAAAGATGGTGTTAAGAGTCTAGACTATAGCCATTCTTCTTGCACACTCGTAATATGCGCATAGGCCTTCCCGCTTTGCTGAGAAGAGCATCGATTTGCTTTTCCCAGTCTGTAGGATTACTGTAAAAGTAAACGCCTAGAAGCTTAAGAAATACTTCCTGTTTAATATCAAAAGTAACAGTAACAGTCTTTCACCTTTACCCTTAACAATCATCTCCTTGGTTTTAGTAAGGTTTATTGTCATAATGTTATTCTGCGTCCAACTTAGTATGTTTTCCACTTCTTGGGGAGTTTGGCCGTGGGTTTCCTTAATCAAAACACTTGAGTCATCTGCAAACTTAACCATAGTGGATCTGTCAGAATCAGCAGCTTGTATATCATTCAACATTAAAGAAAACAGAATAGGCCCTAGTATAGTTCCCTGATGTATACCCCTGTTTGTAGGCAACAAAGGGACCATGTTACCATCAGCTATTACTCTTTGTTGGCTCCTAAATAAAAAAATAATAGCAATCCAATGTAGGGATTGATGGGCAATTCCCTGAACTAGTGAAATAAAATGGAGTGATTAGCTGAATCGAAGGCCTTAGAGAAATCAAAGGCAAAAACCCTAGCACAATCTGCTTCTCTGGTGTCGAGCCATTTAAGCCACATATGTTGGCTTTTAATGAGAGCTAGTGTTGGTGCCTTCCCTAGTGTTGGTGCTTTCCCTATATGCAAATTGGTCCGAAGATACACAAGATACACAATTAAAGGACTAATAAGGAGCCAGGCATCCTTTGGTAATCTCTTCCTACTGCATTACTTGTGGTTGTGAACGTCATCTTTCACAATTGTCACCTGGCACCTAAGTCGGATTGGGAGTAAGGATCTAGTACTGAATTTTAAGGTATATTACAGGAAGGCAGTTTTTTGGTTCTTTTAAGCCTGTTAGTTTAATCTTGTTATAAAGAAAACCGCCCTGAATGCCTTGTCGCAGCTACGGCCTGAGTATGATAGATGACGTTTATATATCACAGCTAATGCAGAAGGAACAGAATTTCAATTTGAAACAGGCCCTTTGTTACACCTTAAAATGGTGAATTCACCAACAAGCCCAAAGTTAGATTAGAAATTAATCCGACAATTTCGCTTGCATAACTTCAAAAGGTATTTTGTTACAAATTCTCCGACCACTCCTAGAAAAAGTATAAGAATAGTTCATTAAGCTTAGATCTCTGGACTTAGCTTGGCTACTGATTCCTGCATTTCTGTTTGCATCGAAGTAATCGAAAGGTAGAAAGATTCGGAAGAAAAATTTATTAAAAATAAGAAAACGAACAAAGCTCAAAAAGACGCATCCTTCTTGATCAGCACACCGCTGTGTGTTATCGACACAGGAGACCCAAGGGCCTTAAAAGCAGCGAGTCCGCAAGTTTATTTTTTACACGTCACTAGTTCCCAGCAACCTCGCATACTGCTTGCAGCTGTCGTGGGCCCCTCAGGCTCTCAATCTTATCCTTGACATTGACAGAATTTAGCGGAGAGCGACTAAATTAATTTTGTCTTAGCCGTACTGGACCGACGTTGCTTACAAGAAGAGGCTTTTGAAAACTGGGCCACTTCCACTTTGTTATTGGCACGAATTCTTAGATCTGGTGTACGTCTTCAAATGCCTAGTTGGTTTGTCGGATCCTTTAATTTCAGTAATGAATCCCACTGTAACCAGGAGCACTGACTCCTCTGAAGGTACTCTGTTGACTACGGTTAGGAACAGAACAGTTTTTACGCAGAGCCCAAGAACCTGGAAAACTTTACCATTCCATCCTCGGAACAGAAACTGTTCAGTTGTAAAGAACGTTTTTATTACTCGTTGTATCTCGCTGAGACTGTTTATGATGTCAACAACCCCCAAAGAGTGTGTATATCAATTGCACACACACTAGTCGGCTATTGTCCAGCTTGCTTGGTCGCTGGAATGTGTTGTTGTTTTTCCCTGATCCTATATGTTAATGTTTGATAATCTACACTTCGTAGTGGTTCCTTTTCTGTGAGTGTTGCAGTTCTTCTGGAAAAGTTTGTAAATAAATAAGAAAACATTGAAAAACTGTATAAGTTGCTGCAACCACGCCGAATTAATACGGCGTCGTGTGTAATTCCAATGTATATAACTTTATATTTGCTTGTCCTCAAAAGGTAAAGAAAAGAACAAGGAGGACAATTCCGGCATGATGAGCGGTAACCAAGTAAGACACAAAGAGAGCGATACCCAGCCACCTCATGGTGAGGATTAGCAGTTAAAATGGTCTATATTTGTTACAAAATTCAAGCATAATTCATTCATGTTAAGCAGGGTCGAGAAATGTTGTCAGTCCTGGTACGATTTTCAGTGTGGTAGATGTCGAAAAAAGAAAAACAGGGCATGAAGAAAAACTGAACGTAAGTGATTACAAAGGGGGGTTATCAGTTTGACTGACGGTAAAATGTCTCTGTCCTTCGCAGAGGCCTCTTTGTGTCGTTGGGAGGCTAGGGAGAGTGAAGAAAAGAAAGCGTGCGGAGGATGATGGGAGGCTCTCTTCCCTATTCCTATCGTCCCTCGCGCGATTGCTATTTTTTGATCATTGCTATTTTTACTGGAGTGCCGTGCGGGAGCCTGTGCGGAGGAGAGAGGTACAAAAAATAATTTTTGTTATGCGATAATCAAATCTGGTTTCCTTTTTTGGATGCCAGAGTAATAAAAAAGAGAGGCATAGAAACTCGTATTGAACCTGTACGACACTCAGTGTATTTTTTAGGTTCAAAGTGAATACTGTTGCTCCTTTCATTCGCAGGTGGGGTCATTTACGATGCCCTTCAGCGAATATGCAAGATGGAAGCATATAGAGATGCCGGCAAAACTGATCCTTTGCTGAGTTTGAAGAAAATTGCTTATGAAAAAGGCTTTGAAATATCCCACAATCAAGGAGAAGGAAATTGCATGTTTTTTGCAATCTCAGAACAGCTGGAGCTCATAAAAGGAGTGAAACTCTCTCATAAAAAACTAAGGAAGAAAGTTGTCCGTTACCTGAAGGAGAATCCTACACTGGTTAGTAGTGTCCTAGTGAAGGATAATTTATAACCCTACGATCAGGTGTTTTTATAATAATAATAATAATTATTATTATTATTATTATTATTATTATTATTATTATTATTATTATTATTATTATTACTATTGTTATTGTTCTTTTTTATTTCCATTTACTTATTCCTTTTTTTGAGAAGAGAAGGAAAAAAAGAACTCCTGATACATTTTTTTTACTTCTTCCAATGTTTTTGTACTCGAGGAAGTCACCAAACGTAAGATGCGTACTGATAAGGGGAGTGTGACAGGAATTGTCTTTTCAAAAACAAAAATAAGAAAATGCAGTATTTTAAATTGTGTTTATGTTTCCTATGTTCCTTTACATATCAAGTGATGTTCATGGGGGCGGAGTCTTGCTTCAAGTGAGCTCTGTTTGCTAGGACACAATCAACAAATTCATTATGGAATGAATTTAGCCACAGGAGTGGCCTTTTATATAATTAGAGCGTAGAACCCAATGGAAAAACTTAGATACACCAGAACCTTATCCCAGCAAAGCTGAGGACAGAACCACTATCATTTAAGGAACAAACACAACTAGAGGGAACGGAGGGAAGATGTTCCCCCGTTTTTACTTCTTGAGCAAGGAGACGTCGTTCCTCGCTTTCAAGAAATAAGTAGATAAAAATGGGAAAATTAGAGGAGCATATACTGATAATGGGTGTGTCAACACTCTCTTGAATAAATAAAACATTTGAAACAGTATTTTTCTTGTTATAGCCGGATGGGACCGAACTATTCCATTTTGTTGAGGGACATCCATCTTGGGATGCCTACCTCCAAAGTATGAAGGCCGATGGTACATGGGGTGATCACGTGATTCTCCATGGTGCGGCAAACTGCTTTGATACCTGCATTCACGTGATCAGCAGTCATCATCGTGATGTACTGATTAACCCAGAACGTGAAGATGCCGACCGTGACCGGCTTGTACTGGGACACTTATGTGAGCTTCACTATGTTAGCCTTATTCCATGCAAATCACCTAAAGGTAATTCACCTCTTGCCTTCTAATGTTAGATTTAAAAAGACACTTTAACAAATAGAAGTTGTTGTTTTGAAGTGGCAGTATGTTATGTCAAATTTTTGCCGCCTGTCGGAAGCCTTCGTTCTAGTCATTTATTTAGTAACAACCTGTGCAGAAGGAACATATCTCCACAGCGTTCCGAGCCCTTTTGCTAAAACTTATGATTTTATTTTCGTCAACAAGCCCAAAAATAGAACAGAAGTAAATCTGTCAAGCAAACTACAAAAACTTGGTTTTCCCATTGTCACACTTTGTTTTCTCCTTTTAAAAAACTCGCTGTCTTATATTATCGGGTTTAAAAACTCTCTGCGTCGCCTCGAATTTCTATCCTGATAATACAAGACTGCGAGTTTTTTGAACGGCTTCAAAATCTCTGATATAGATCAACTCATTCTTGCACTAATATTTAGATTTGGGGTTATTTTGGTTTAAAAAATTAGACGTAAAGTTTAGTCGTGTCTTTATCAGATATAAAGACACTCATTAAACATTTATTTCTTTTGTTTTTTGTTATGAATTATTAATCGATTTTTGAATTTTCATCTCGCGACATATTAAAGCAAACGACTCATAAAAAACAACTGTAGGTTATTAATACATTATTACTTTTTAAACGTAGGTACAACAAAGCGCCAGAAACGCAGATTACAAACGGATGAAGATGATGCCCATTTGGATTGGGGTAAGGATCAAGTGATGATTTTTGCTATCAGAAAAACAGGTTCTTTGTAATGTTAAGCCTGTTAGTTTAATCTGTTAATAGTTTAACCGTCCTGAACGCCCTGCTGCAGCCACGTCCGGAGGACCACCGGCGTTTCACTCAGCGTGAGAGATGAAGTTCCTAAATAACAAGTGAGGTCAGTGAGATACGGCCCCGACGAACCGTTAAAAAACACTGTAATTGCTGCAATTTCGCTCTCATTGTGCGGCGCCGCAGTTGTCCCTTTCGAAAACGGTCGATGCCATTTTTAAGACACTTAGAACACTTTTACATGTTATTGAGAGTGTTTCTATTAAAAGAAAGAAAGAAAAACAAAGAAAATCGCAAGCCAGGGTGAAACCCAGATCTCGAACCCGGACCTTCCGTAGAGCTGGTAGAGGGTCTGAATGGGGGTACATCGATAACACTAAACACTTCATCTTTTGTTTTGTAACATGAAACTGTTAAATTTTAAGCATTTTAACACTAACAGTAAAAATTTTTGAAACGGTAAGTTTTTTTTCAGAAAGAAAAAAAAAAACGGGTCCAAAAAGGCCAATATTATTTTGTTTAGTATATCAAGGAGTTTTCGGCCATTTTACGACAATTTATTTCAGATTTCCGAAGGCTGCTGAAGATTCCCGAAGACTGCCGAAGTTTTTCGAAGACTAACGAAGTGGTCCGACCATTGCCGAAGATGTCCGAAGAACCCTCAAACACTTAACAGTACTTTCTTCGGAAACAGCAAACATTAAAAAATGTCCAATTTAACAGCAAACACTAAAAATTATGTGCAAATAGCACTAAACACTAAACCCAATTCAGACCCTCTCCGTATCCCAAAATTCCAAAACATTAAAGTACATACACTAGCAAACTGTCTTTCGTAACTGTTGCATTAATAACAGGTAACCTTAGCCCTTTCCGTAACTTTTAGGAAAATTCAACTTGGGCTTCCACGGCGTTCTTCTAACACTATTCTAAAACGTATTCTCTGCTTTATTGTAACTTATCCAGGGAATATATTACATCTATCATGACCAATGGTGGCGTCGACCGTTAAAAATAGCAAAGACCGTTTACGAAAGGAAAATAGGCTACGGCGTCGTGTGAATTCCAATGTTTATAGCAAACGTTTGTTATCTTTTATCCTCAAAGGTGGAGAGAAAAAGAAGAAACACAAATCAGGCACAAAGAGATGTAAGCAGTGAGGCAGATACAGAATGGTACCCAGTAAAAACGGCGGGGATTAAAATAAGTAAATAGTTTTATATTTTGCTGAAGATTTACGCGTAAATTAATATCCATATTTTACTGGGTCGAAAAGGTTTGTTTTTTTTGTGGGTGTTTTGCATTTTCCCACATTGCCAGTGTGGAAAATGTAAAAATGTAAAAAAACAAAACTTTTTTTTTTTACAATGAATTAATTATAATGATAATGACGTTTATTATTGGGATGTTTCTTAGCAAACTGTATAGCTTTTTGCAAAATGTAATGATAAAATAGATGTTCACGGCATATAATTTATTGGAAAAGAAACAATCATGATAGTAATGTAATTATTTTTGGTTGAATTATAGCCACTAATTTTTTTTAAGAAATTTATCCAGTATCAGGATGTTCATTACGAATCTTTGTATATATTGATTTCGTATGGGATGTTTCTTATTCAACTTTAGAGCTTTTAGCCAAATATTTGTTTAAAAAGGAAAACTGTAAAAATTTTTTGGAAAAGTGGCCTTCATGTTAGTTTAGGGTGTTTCTTACCAACCTGTAAATATTTTTAGTTGAATTATAGCGTTTAGTTAGGACTTTTTATATGGGATCTATCCTGTATCAGGATAATCAGTCATCACCAATCTCTTTATACATGTATATTTATTTCGTCATTTGGATGTTTCCTCTCAAAATGTAGCGGTTTTAGCTGAAAATATTAAAAACAGTGTTCCGTCAGAATTTATTGGAAAAGTTTGGTTTTATGGAAACTGCCTGTATCAGGTTGTTTCTCGCCAATCTCTGTATATTATTTTAAGTTTAAGGTAGTCAGTGTTGATTTGAACTTTTGAGTTCTTTTCCGTCAGGCGATGTTCCTCATCAGCCACGATAAAAAATGATCTTATTCCCTGAATTTCATTCATGTCTCAATGTCCTTGCAATCTGAAAAATATCTTCAGTTTAATGATATTCCATAAGAATTTATCCATAAGAAATTAGCTATTATAATTGCCTTTCTGTCGATGTCTATTACGCCCCGTCCACACGTAATTGGATATTTTTGAATCCGCATCTTGTTCTTTCCGGATACGGCTTCCGTCCACACGTATCCGGTGTATCCGGCAGACGAATCCGTAACTTTTTGAATCCGCTCTCCAGATAACAAAGATTGGAAATTTTGAATCCGCTTTAAATTTCTTTCCGGAAACGGTTATTAATCACTGCTAATGAACAGCACATGCAACAATTTTACTATATGGATCTGAATCCAGACAGCAAACTAAATTTTTGGAAGAAAATCAAACATATACACATGGGTTTTCTCGATTGTAATATGGTGATAGTAGGAGAGATGACCCTCGCACACAGCCAAACTCAAACCATCGCTGATTGGTTCCCTCTAAATTTTAAGTTTCATTCTTACATGGACGTCAATATTTCAGAGTTTTTCTCGACAGTTGCTCGCCCGGGATAAAATTTCCGAGAATTTTGAATAAACAATGGCTGTACAGAGTGAAACTCAAAATAGTGCGTCACTCAATGTACTTTGAAATCAGTTCCAAACCGCTGCCACTAGCTTCTAGAACATCTTGCAATGGTGATGCCAAAATAAAATGATGATAGTGATGCCGCGCTCTAGCTAGTAAACCGAAGAGAAGACCAAGAGCTTTGAGCAGGATGTGGTTGTTTTCTTTTGTTATTTCGAAGATCACCGATGCAGAACCCCAATCGGCTGCAAAAGGCCTTGTTCCCTGTTGGTTGCACAAGCACCTTTTAAACCTTTTCGATTTGGTCGTCATGGCTACAGTGACGAGGTGATCCACTTTGAAGATGAACGACCTAACTTCATATACTTTAGGTAGTCACTGAATGTCCTGGATGAACAATACGCCTTGAATTCTCCGATTTCATTACATGATCACAGGACAGAGCATAGTAAGTGCTACTGCTTTTCACAATAGCACCTAGTGTCCCCGATGCTTGCTTCTCCTGCACGCCAATGCTTGCTCCTAATTTAAGCCCGCGGTCGTTTTGTTCTTGACTTGTGCCTCTCTTGTACTCTTTTGGATATCAGTGAATTCAGCTCTTCCCCAGAATCCACTCGTTAACCTGAGGAGCAGTCAGTGATGTGGGTTCGCCAAATCAATACTCGAGCCGTTGAACATTCAGTATGTTGACGTTGTTGTTATACAGATCTGGCCATTCCAGCTTCACATTCATATCTTCGAAAAACGTTTGGGCTTCTTCCTTTAAATCTTTTGGAATACCAGACTCTCCACTAAACACATCAGTAAAACTGAACCACAATCTGGCCATCCTTTATACAGGGCAACACACGAATGCATTCTCCGTGCTCAGCTGCAAACATCAAGGTTGCAGCATGAATGCCTCTCACTCTACTCGCCGTTGCGATAGGCACTTCACCTGGATCCAAGAAAATCTCGTCCTTTAGGGTCGTCAAAGGATTCTCCCTCGTGTGCGGAGTTTAGACCAGGTTCAGGAACAATACTAAGCTTGTCCATTTGCATCACATCTTTTAAATGGAAGAGGTAATTCAGTATGTATATGAGTGTCGTCATGAAACATCGCGGTTGCTGCAATAATAATTTTCACTTTACGCTGCGTGGCCATGGGAAGGTCTCCTAAAACTAATGCGGTTATCATTGGCTTTCCCGGCGGTCAAATCCTGGGACACCCCAGGGGATTTGTTTTTACAATCAAACAAAAACCTACTCTGAAATCCCCGGTGTATAGGGCATAAACGTACCACACGCCATATTCCCTCCCCAGGGGCTAAAAGCCAACATACCTTCATTTACACTTTATCTTTGCAGTAATAACAGATATATATGTCCTATTTTATGGAGGGTCTCCTTCCAATAATTTTGACGCAGCGTCTATGATACCAAATGTGACACCCTGGACCTTGCTTACCGTAACTCCTCTATTAAGCCCCCGGAGGGGGCTTATTTATTCAACCAAAAATTTGAAGGATGGCTTATTTAATTTAGCAAAGAAGATAGCATCAGTTCTCCCTGAAGAACTAGAACGCAAAAAGGAAAATCTCAATTACAAAAAGCTGGAGGACATACAACCGAGGATCAAAAGTAAATCCGAACTTCCAGCTGGTGAATAAACCATCCCGGATCAGTGCACACGAAGTGATGCGTCCTGATTGATTAATATAGTCTATCATTTTACCAGTTAATAAAAATATGGAGAAGACGGGGACTTAAAAGAGATTGGGGCGGGGGCTTATTAATTTTCTTCTTCTAAAAGGAGGACCTTATTAGGGAGGGGCTTATTTGAGGAGGGTGGGGGCGGGGTTAATAGAGGTTTATGGTATTTACTATTCTTTAAACTATTTGCCGTGAATATTCAAGACTGTCCGTGAAAAAACATTTGCGGATTCAAACATATCCGGATACGTGTACCGACAAATTCGATTTGAATCCGGATACGTGTGGACGTGCAAATTTTTAATCCGGACAGAAAAAGTTGCGGATTCAAAAATATCCGGATACGTGTGGACGGGGCTTTAGGTAATAACCGTAAGAAAAACAATGGATCTTTCTAATTTATATTCTTTAGCAGAGGGTTTGTGGATAGTTGACCAGTCAGCTTTCGTAGTTCAGGGTGGAAGTTTTTTATCCTATCGGCATAGTTAGTGATTTTTAGTAGGTCACTAAATTTGTTTTAAATTGGTAGCTGACGAGACTGAAGTGAAGTTAAAAACCGAACTCCGTAAACCTTGTTATTCATTAAAGTTATTGATTAATTTAGCGTGTTTACTATTTTGCAGTAGCATATATCGCGGTCAGGTTCTCTAACCAGTTTATTGGTTAATCAGATTAGGAAATAACAGATCCATCTTATTTACCCTGCTGTGTCTCATTTGTTTTGAAAGTATTCAAATACGGCTGTCAGACATATCCTAGGGTGGGACACATTCGTGAATTCAACCCAGCAGAATTGTACTTAAGTACGGAAATTATAGTCATTGAAAATAAAGCATTTATTTATTTTGGAAACTGTTTTTATTGTTAAGTGTCTTGTGCTAACTACAGTCTTGTTTGCCGGTTTTAAATGGCATGTTAATTACAGTTTCAACCTTTAAATCTTTCAATAAGCATTTGAAATTCCAAGACACTCTCGTCCACGTCGGTGGGCTTGTGCACGTGGTACCTGTTTTCGAAAAGATACTTGTTTCCTAGAAAAAGATGCTTTTTTGTAATCAAAAAGTTTGTAATCTACTCTGTAATGACCTGATAGCATGGGATCCAGCTGATCCAGCACCCATCTGTGACGGTTTCTGTACCAGTCTATCTCCAGATCTCGTAATAATTATGAAATACAGGGTGTGGTATTTCTTGTGTGTGGCAGCACTAATGTGTTATGTGCACTCGAATGATTGTAGAATCTGGCTCTACTTAGTTCACTTAGCCCACATTCCGTGGGCATTTTCTCAACAGACAATGGTCACCTGTGGTGTTCCCCAAGGTAGTGTACTTAAGGCCAGTCCTGTTCCTTGCCTATATTAACTATATTACAACCGGCGTAAGGTCAAGCATGCGCCTGTTTGCAGATGAAAGCAAGGTTTACAGGATTGTTGCGATGAAAACGACGAGAAACAACTTCAATGTGACCTCAACAAGCTTCAGAAATGGAGTGAAAATTGGCAACTTCGTTTTCACCCTGACAAATGTGAGGTATTATGATCTCTCTCATGGCTAACACGTAGAAGCTATCCTTACAAAGCTCTCTGGGAACAAGGAGGTCTTTCCTCGTCTGTACAAGGCCTTGGTTATACCCATTCTGGAATATGCTGTCCCTCTCTGGTCACCCTATTTACAGAAGAACATTGACGCTCTTGAACAGGTCCAACATAGGGCCTCAAATACGCTCTCCTGATGTCATGTAGGAATCTCCGTACGAAGAAAGACTGGCAGTGCTTAGGTGGATCAATCAAGGAGGTCTTATCTATCTTTTGCTAGACTAGTGCTACAAGACTATTCATGGTCTTAATGGCGTCAACTGTAATGATTATTTTGAATTTAATTGTTATGGTAAAACAACATCAAACCATTCATTTAATTTAAGACAGCCATTAGCTAGAGTAAATTGTTTTTTGCACTCATTCTTTGTTAGAATTATTAAACAGTGGAACGCTGTTCCTAAAGAGATAGTGTGCGAACAGGATTTCAGCATTTTTTCGAAGTAAACTAAGAAAGTATTGTAAAATTTTGTAAATTTTTGAGCCATTTCTTAATTATTCTGAAATTTTACATTGTACATTTATTTTATATTTTATGTAGGAGCGCCCTCGATAGCTATAACCTCTGACGTTCCCCCTTTATGTATCCCAACAAAATAAATATTTGATTGATTGATTGAAAAAGCAGTGTGAAGATTCTGATCATCATAATTAAAGTTGTAATCCCAGTTTAACCAGATCCGAGCATCCACGGTTTGTCTCCAACATGAGTGAAATTCACTAGCGGATCAGACCTTCAGATAAGGGGCCCCGGTCTCAAAATATATTTTTCGGCCCTTCGGGCCTCAATTTGGTCTAAAATAAGGGAGGGGGCCGGGCCCCCGCGCCCCTGGATCCACTACTGAAACTCCAATGGGCGGTAAAACGGGTTGAGACATTTCGCCCTAAATGGACTTTTGACGTTTCGGACTTCAAAAGGGGAAAGATAGCGATTCCTCCCCAATCCTCTCCATGC